TCTGTCCTGCCAGTAATAGATCTAAGATATTGAAGAATATCTAAGAAAAGTACTTCAAAACTGCCATTCTGCTTTTTATCTTTACTTGTAGAGTAGTTGAATCTTGCTAAGTGGTTAGTACAATTCTTTCTACATAGTAAGTACTCAGTTTACCTGCTGAATGAAAACTTTAATATAGGCCACATCAACTTTCACCTGATTTATTCCAACAGTCTTGTCCTCATTCCTCATTCTGTACTTGCTGATGTCATCCCCTTTTCAAAACCCTTCAGAGGCTTTCTGCCTGCAAGGTAAGATCCAACTCCATAGCCTGGCACGCAAAGCCCTTAATAACATATTATCTGACTTTGTGGTCCTGTCTCCGTGTTCTTTCCCATATACCTAAGTCTCCTTATTGTACCCTTTCCTGCGGCCTCGTCCCACGCTTTTGCCCCTCTCACCTGACACAAAATAATGCTAGCCCATGATTCCCTAGATATCAGGCCTTACTCCAAAATAGCACTGCTTAGCAGGTCTCTTGGTAGGCCCTTTTCTTTGATTCAGATTTTTTGGTGTGAATGTTTGTCTGATCTAGGCATACAAACGTTCTTTCTCCTCTGTTTTCTCTCACTTAGTAATAATGATAGTGTACTCTGAGTTAGGATGGGCTTGATGGCAACAGGTTGGTGTGTTTTTTGGGGGGGCGGCTGCAGTAGTGGGAGGGAAGAACGATTCAGTAAATTATCGATTGTTTAATTCCCTTTCCCCGGGGGGAGAATGTTTTTCCAGAACTTGGTCCCCTTACCACCTTCCCCTTCTATGTGAGAATCTCTTTAGCCTTCCCTCTAAACTACTACAGGAGTTCTCATCCCCTATTAGCCACAAACTGCTCTCTTCTCTAGCCTTCTTAAGTCAAACCCTTCCTGCTTCCTTCTAGTTTACATCTTTAATACTTCCCCCCTTTCCAACTTGGGCCTCAACACCCAGTTCAACTCCACACCCTCCAGCCAGATTCAGTATCCCAGAACTCTGGGTTAACAAGTTTTCTTCTATATTCTAGAGATTTTCTGAGCTCCCCCTGCCCAGCTTCACTGGAAAATCTCTCCTATTCCCCGTGGGTCAACCTGATGCTTCCTCTCAGAGGTTCACACAGGGCATCCACAATGCCCTCACCCCAGAGGCCTGTGACTTAGCAGTTCCCCGAACTATACAAGGCAAGTAGGCCTTTGGGGGATCAGTGCCCCACCCAACCTTATCAAGGGCTTCCACGCTCCCTGGATTTCTTGACTAATTTCCAGAATCTTAGGGCCTAGCCTAGAGCCCTCAACCCTAAATTCCAGGCAGGGCCTCTTCTCCACATCTACTTCCTCATGGTTCCCCTACCCCACCCCCAATATAGCTCAAGTCTTCACTCCCAACCTGACCAGGGCCTTCCTCCAGGAAAAGCCAACACGGCCACTGAGGCCACCTCGTGGAATGCCCTCCACTGACCACCACCGGGCCAAGGGCCCGCGTGCTCTCCTGCCACCCCTTCCAGGAGCCCAGCGTCGCCAGGCCTTCCATCGCCTCACCCAACTTCAGCCTGGCCTCTGGACCCCACCCCCTCGCTGCACCGTCTGTCAGGCCCAAGGCCTCCCTTGTCCCCGTGCGCCTAGGCCGACCTCCCAGAACTCGCACTTTCCGCTCTCCCACTCCGCACCATCAGTTGTCAGGTCGCAGCCTGCGTTTCTCCCCCTCCTCGGTGGCCAGGCTAAGCCCGCGGCTTGCACCCCCGACTGGGGCCGGCAGTTTGCAGCATTGGCCGGGCCTCCCCGCGCTCCATCTGGCCGGAGGCCGCCTTCCCTCCGTGAATCGGCCCGCCGGCCTCCCT